TTTACAGAATAAATTAAAAAATCGGTTAAGTTGACATCAAATATGAGGTCGAACCGCCAATTTAGCCACTAATTTTAAATGTGATCATATTCAAAACTACTAAAACAAAAAACAGGTCTTTAAAATACCTACCAAACGAGGTGTCACACGCCATATGATACGCAATTAAAGCAAAGAAGGTCTTTAAAATACCTACCAAACGAGGTGTCACACGCCATATGATACACAATTAAAGCAAAGAACAACTTTGTGATGTTTCGTTAGCTTCCGAATAAAGATAAAGATTGGCTGAAACACAGTTCCTGTACACGCTCGTTATACAGTATTTCGCCATTTTATTGTTGATTTTTCAAAGCACTATTTTATAACTGTTGCACAAAAAGTTTTTATACCGTCCCTGAGTCTTGTTTACAAAATGTGCAAAACGAAATTGTGCATAATGTCTATATTTTTCCTATGACAGTTACCCACTTCATTGGATATTACGCAGATCGATACTATACGTCACGGTGACGTAATGTGGTGAAAGGCGTGGCTTTTACGAATTTGACGTATCATCTGATCAAAAACATCGCGCGAAAATAAATTTTAATCGGCTCATGGCGAATCAAATAACCATATTCCATACCACAATACGTCATGCGCGAACGAGATTTCGTCGGCTAAGGTATCATACCTTTGTTTTTTTTTGTATCATGGTGTTGACTGAAGATTCAAATTAGAGCAAAATATAATCGCATCTACTATGTTCTCTATCCTATACAACGACGATCCTATTATATCATCTATTCCTTTATGATATTTTATTTGCAAAGAGAAAATATATTTCTATAAAACAATTTTCCATTTTGTTCATTTTTAATTTTGTTATATTTATAGGTATATACGAAAAACTGCTAGACTAATTCATTCATTCATTCTAAATTAAGCCCATTGCAATCTTTCAGTGTGTTTATTATTACGCACACACCCCTTACTTGAGCCCAAGTCGGATAGGTTCCCATCGTTCGCATCAGGCATAATTACTGCCTGAATGAGCCTCATTTTTGTCTTTAGTTGGAGTTTGTTCTTACGTCCTATTAAACAGTTTAGTCTTGATCTTGCCTGTTTCCGCTTCTTTACTACCATATCCACGTGCTTGGTGTAGGTGGTTTTTGGTCCATAATAACTCCTAAATACCTGGCTGAGTCAGTCCATTGGATGTCCTGTCCATTCATCGTTATTTCTTCTCCTGGAGGATGATGTCTCTTCTTAAACAGCACAACCTGTCTTCTCCGCGTTGATCTTGATCTTCCATCTTATGCGCCATTCTTCTGTCTTCCGCTGCGTCTTGTAGATATCTTGATATAAGTCCTGGCTGTGTGCTTGTTGCCGATATCGCTGTCTCGTCCGCGTAGAGGTTGTATGTTGGGTGTTGGGGATGTCCGCTGTGTAAATGATATACAGCAGTGGTGACAATACCGCTCCTTGAGGTACTCCCGCTTTCGAAATTCCTGGTCTAGATTGGACATGTCCCATCTTGACCCGAAATTGCCTTCCGCCGAGGTACGACCTGAGCAACCTTGTCATACCTGCTGTGTACCCTTGGTCATCCAAGAATATGGTTCCTGTGGACTGATTTCTGTTGAATCCTCTAGTGATCCCTTCGACGAGTCTCAGGACTTGCAATTCGGTCGAGTGTTCCTCTCTGAATCCAAATTGTTTGCCAGGTAGTATATTCAGGTTTCTGGTTTCTTCTCGTAACCTTCTTAGGATAATTCACTTCGCAATTTTACTCATAGCTGGAAGCAAGCTAATGGGCCTGTAATTTTGCGGAAATTTGGGGTCCTTGTTTGGTTTCCGTATCATAATCACCTGCTTGTTTCCACAGTCTAGGGAAGTACTGAGTTCTTAAAATCCCGTTAATGATGGCTGTGAGGTAGACTGTGGCTTTCAGCGGGAGGTGCTTAATCGCTCGGATGGAGATTTTGTCCCTACCGGGGACTTTTTTGGCAGATAGATGCTTGATGGTGCCTCTCACCTCGTCCGGAGATGAGGACTCAAGGTATCGTATATCGGGTTTATTTTCATAGTCCTCTTCCACTTCTTCCGTGAAGTCTAGGTCTTCGTCCTCATGTTCATTGTTCAAACATTGGGACTTCAGGGAAGTAGCGAATGCATCGGCTTTTTCCTCTGCGGTGTTTACCAGTCCGTTTGCTCCATGCAAGATGGGTACTGGTTTTTTGTCGTCTCTTAGTATTTTCTGTAGTTTCCATAATCTAGGCTTTTGGGGGTCGAGTTTTTCAAGAAAATCTTCCCAGCAGACAGAGCTATCGCATTATATAGATGAAGACAGCTGTTAATTTGAGTGGGGATGTTTTATGTTTATCTGAGGACCGAGCATGCGTTTTATGAATGAATCCGTATAATTACGTCTACACGCTTGGTTTGCACTATGAAGACTAGAAGTAAGGAGGCGAATCGGCATGCTCAAAATACGGTCCCAAAAATCACACGTCAATTGAGCTTTTATAATTAACCACATGGGCGCTGGTACGGTTTACGTAGTTCGAAATACATGGCTTCTTATGGGAATTATACATAATTTTGTCAAAATAATAAAAATAAACTTGTTTACATCTAAATAAAGCACAGAACATACTGTTGCATTTATTTCTAAATAAGTCTTGCATGTTTTAATTAATAAATTATTTAATTTTATCTATATAAAATACAATTTTGTGGCAATTTTTTTTTTGAATTGAACCTATATATAGTTTTAAGAGTAAAATAAAACACAGTTAACAAATTTTTTATTGTTGTAATACAAGTATAAAGGGAGATTTGGGAATGTACATGATATTACCTCATCCTTTAATTTCAGCTGTCCCCTTTTTATTTTCCTAACAGTACCATTAGTTAAAATAGTCTCATGAAATTTTAAAATATCATCTTCTAAAAAGTGTAGCTCGCAAACAGAATCATAACTAGACAGTACTTTATCAGCCCTAGGAATCACATGCTGCCATTGTTCTAAACGTTTAGGATCCTATAAAAAATATTTGCAATGACTAAATTGAAGTTCAATAAAGAAAAATAACAGTAGTAACTCTTCATCTAAAATCAAAAAACATAAAAAAAGCAAATTTTCTTTTCTAGTAAGTTAAATTTAATGTGTAATTATTGTTGTTTGTAAGTCAGGATTTAAGACCTTATTATTTTTTATTATAAAATTTTGTAATTAAATAAACTAAATAAGAAACGGGTTGTGACTATTTTACAATAAATATATATTATTTAGAAATAAATACATTATTTTACTTACACTAGGAGCTTTAAAAAGACTTGGATTTTTATCTCCTTGTGTTTTCTTTAATTTTATATCGGATTTATATCCCGTTTTTCAACCCGAAACGAAGAAATCCTGCTTTTCCGTTTTTTGTTACTCATTGTTACTTGTAGTCAGGTTCTTTATTTCAGCTTATTTTTATTCTTTTCACTAAATTTTACAAAAATCACTTTAATTCCCATTGACTTGCATAAAAAATAGACGTCGTTATTTTGCCACCCGCCAACTACAGTAGTTTTTTGGAACTCCATAAAAATAGGGACTGAAATTTGACCAAGGCCGATTCGCCTCCTTATATCTAGTCTTCATAGTTTGCACTGCTGTCACACTTACTTGCGTACTTTCCATAACCACTATGCGACTATAATAGTGGTAAATATATTAAACTGACAATAACTGGCATTAAGAATGCAAATATACTTCCCTAATGTAGTTTTGAACGCCTTTTGTGCGCTTTAGAGCCTTATATTTAGTCAATACCGAATTATAACCATAAACAATCCTTGTAACAATATTCTCTCATAATAATTTGACAACTATGTGGAAAACACCGTGAATGTTTGCAATTCGATTTTTGTAAACAAAATTAGTCTTGTAGTTTTTCGTCGTTGTGTTAATGGTCATTTTCAATACATCTCGTAACTACTGTTGACCACAAACTATTCTACACGTATAGTATTGATTTAGTATTTTTCTGACGGGAAATAAATGGATTTCTATAATTATAAGGTATAGGGTGTGGCATATCAAATTTTATTTGTTGGTAGGTACATAACTACTTCTTCAATTATCTTTATTTCTTTTAAAGCCAATCTAATACGCGAGCTATATATCATTTTATCACATCTTCAGTATCATTAGAGTATGGTTTAGTTTTCTACAAAACGTTACTCAAGGTTTTATCATTTTTATTGCGGCAGTAAACGTTTTAATAGAATTAATAAAACACAATGGCAGTGTGAGTATAATAGCTAAAATTTAATCATAATTCTTAAAATGTTTTACCTGGCATAAAAAAGTTTTCGTGTTTACGAGTATTATATCCATGAAATTTTTGATGATTCATTTATTTGTAAACAGTAGGTTAATATTCCATAATTTCTAATTTGTTGTTTATCTCAAATTAGTAACAGAATAATACAACCAATAGTATTATAGTCAAAATAAAACAGAGATTCTGTTCCATAAACCAAATTTAAAATATATCAACTCGTTTTACATAATCAAATTTTTATAATCGATAATATAAAATAACGAACTTATCTTATCACTATCACGAATTTTTTAGCTATTTTACGTACCTACCTAGTGATTTGAAATTGTTTGCAATGCCAAATAAAATTGAGGAAATGGTTTATCAAGTTTGCTAATAACGATAATAATCTACAAATCGTCTTAAATCATGCAAACTTTTTGTGATAACACTTACTACTTCGGTTTTGCTCCAACGATCACAATTTTGTGATTAAATAGTGTAATCTTTTTTTTACAAACATATTATTCTTACACGTTTAACGTTTAACAAGTCGCAAAAGGTTTACTACGTCTTATAGAAAATTATTTTCCTGTAACCAATTAATAATACTTTAATCTTAGGAAGCTTAGGAAATATCTTGTAGTTTGCCAAAATTTTAATAAACATGAATGTAGTTAACAATCAATTTTTTTGCAGATTTAAAAATAGCGAAAATGCCTGCAAGAGCACCAGAAACTGAACGCCACATGGGCAATACCATCAATGACGACATTGTCATCACCGGTATCTCAGGTCGCCTCCCAGAGAGCAACAGCATTGAAGAGTTTAAGCAACAACTCTTCGATGGTGTCGACCTAGTCACCGATGATGAAAGAAGATGGCCATCAGGGCTCTACGGTCTGCCCACACGTACTGGCAAACTCAAAAACTTAGAATTATTCGACGCAACATTTTTCGGTGTACACGCCAAACAAGCACACGTAATGGACCCCCAGCTTAGAATGCTTTTAGAATTAACGTACGAAGCTATGGTAGACGCAGGTATGAACCCCAATGAGATGAAAGGTACCAAAACAGGTGTCTTTATTGGAGTATCAGACAGTGAATCTTCAGAATATTGGACTCAAGACCCAGAACAAATTAATGGGTACGGTTTGACAGGGTGTTGCAGAGCTATGTTCCCTAATAGAATCTCATACACCTTTGACTTTAGTGGACCAAGTTACGCAATTGACACAGCTTGCTCGAGTAGTTTATTCGCATTTCAACAAGCCGTTACAGCTATGAAGACTGGGCAGTGTGATTCTGCCATAGTAGGGGGTGTAAACCTATTATTAAAACCCACATCTTCTCTACAGTTCCATAGACTTAGCATGTTGAGCCCACAAGGTATGTGCAAAGCATTCGATGCAAGTGGAAACGGTTATGTACGATCAGAAGGAGCTGTGGTAGTATTACTTCAAAAGGCTAGTGCATCTAAAAGAGTATACGCAACCGTATTGGGAGCAAAAACAAACACTGACGGAAACAAAGAACAAGGTATCACATTCCCTTCTGGAGGCATGCAAAATAGACTTATTCGAGAAGTATACGATGAAATTGGAATAAAACCAGAAGAGGTTTCATACGTGGAAGCTCATGGTACTGGTACCAAAGTAGGAGATCCTCAAGAAGTCAACTCTATCGCAGATTTCTTCTGCAAGAATCGTAAAGAACCTTTATTGATTGGATCAGTTAAAAGTAACATGGGACATTCTGAACCAGCCTCCGGTTTGTGCTCTTTAGCCAAGATGGTAATTGCTATGGAATCTGGAATGATACCACAAAATTTACACTTCAAAAGTCCTAACAAAGATATCCCTGCTCTTAACGACGGACGTCTAAAAGTAGTGGCCAAAAATGAACCATGGAATGGTGGAATTTTAGCCATTAACTCTTTTGGATTCGGTGGAGCTAACGCTCATATTGTTTTACGTTCCAACCCTAAACCCAAGACTACTTGGCCAGCAGGTGATGTACCAAGAGTGGTAGGAGTGTCTGGACGCACCGAAGACGCTGTAAGTAATTTCCTAACTAAAATCGAACAACACAAAAATGATGAGGAATTCCTAGCTCTTATCGACGAAGTACATAGTAGAAATATTAACGGGCACGCCTACAGAGGTTACGCCGTTTTGAAAGATCAAGTAGTAAAAGAAGTAATGCAAGTACCTGGAGATGATAGACCAATTGCATTCGTTTACTCCGGAATGGGATCACAGTGGCCCGGTATGGCTAAAGATTTGATGCAGTTAGAATGTTTCAAGAATTCAATCAAACGATGTGCAGATGCACTAAAACCTCACGGCGTCAACTTAGAAGACATTATTATAAACGGAAGTGATGCTACATTCGATAACGTCCTTAATTCGTTTGTATCTATTGCTGCGATGCAAGTTGCTTTAACTGATGTAATGAGAACTCTTGGAGTCGAACCAAATGTAATTGTTGGCCACTCTGTCGGAGAAGTTGGATGTGCTTACGCAGACGGAACTTTGACCGCCGAACAAGCAGTTTTAGCAGCTTACTCAAGAGGTCGTGCTATTTTAGAAAGCAAACTTGCTCCAGGTGCGATGGCCGCCGTTGGTTTAACTTGGGAACAAGTAAAAGAGAGATGTCCACCTGAAATCTTCCCTGCTTGCCACAACAGCGAAGATAGCGTTACAATTTCTGGACCGCCAGCCTCTATTGAAAAATTTGTCGCTCAACTCCAATCTGAAGATATTTTCGCAAAGGCTGTTAAAAGTTCTGGAACCGCATTCCACAGTAAATATATTGCTGATGCCGGACCAAGACTAAGAAAAGCATTAGATTCCATAATCCCTAATCCAAAACCAAGATCGCCACGGTGGATTTCTTCATCTATTCCAGAATCTGCATGGGGTACTCCTTTGGCACAACAGAGTTCTGCTGCTTACCATGTCAACAACTTACTTTCTCCTGTTTTGTTTCACGAAGCCTTGAAACACGTACCAGAAAACTCAATCTGTGTTGAAATCGCCCCAACTGGTCTTCTCCAAGCTATATTAAAGAGAGCTTTAGGCCCAAAAACTACTAACATTAGTTTGGTTAAACGTGGACATGCTGATAATTTGGAATTCGTCCTATCTGCTGTTGGAAAGTAAGTTTTGTATTTTTTGCCCTGATAATTTTGATTTAATGTCCCTTTTGTTTTTCAGAATATTTGCAGCTGGAGCTCAACCACGTTTTGGAAATCTGTATCATCCTGTAAGCTTTCCAGTTGGTAAGGGTACACCTATGATTAATTCTATGGTCGAATGGGACCACTCTATTGAATGGTCTGTCGCAAACTTCTCCGGCAAAGGATCTCGTTCTGGCGAATTAGTTGTCGATATTGATCTCAGTAAGGAAACTGATGAATATTTGGCTGGACACACTATTGATGGCAGAGTTTTGTTCCCTGCTACAGGATATTTGGTTAGTATTATTTACTTTAAGTCGTGTAACGCTTTTGGCATACCAATATTAAAAAAAGATTTATATTTTTATTTTTGCCTTTTAGACGTTAGTTTGGAAAACTTTCGCTAAACTAAGAAACGAAGACTTCGAGCAACTTCCAGTTATTCTAGAAGATGTTCAGTTCCATAGAGCTACCATCATGCCAAAAGAAGGTTCGGTTAAATTCCTGATAAACATATTTGAAAGTTCTGGGGAGTTCGAACTTTGCGAAGGAGGATCGGTTGCCGTTTCTGGTAAAATCAGGGTGCCCGAAGATGTATCTAAAGAAGTCTTGGATCTACCGAAACCTGTAGTAAAATCTGAACAAGACGTGTTCTCTTTGAACAATGCTGATATTTACAAAGAATTAAGACTTAGAGGCTATGATTATGAAGGTATCTTTAGAGGCATTTCTGAATCTGATAACCATGGATTAGCTGGAAAACTCAAATGGGAGAATAATTGGATCAGTTTCATTGATACCATGTTGCAATTCTCTATTCTTGGACAAAACACTAGAGAATTATACCTACCAACAAGACTACAAAGAGCCGTCATCAATCCGAGAGAACATTTACAGGCCATTAAAGGATTACCTGAAGGCGAAAGTAAGTATTTAATCATTTTGATAAATCAGAATTAATAGCCCAGTTTCTCTTTTGGTAAATTATTATTCATTTAAATTGTACTTCTAGGTGTGCCAGTATACATGCACAGAAACATTGGAGTCATTAAGTCAGCTGGTATTGAGTTGCGTGGTATGAAAGCCAGCTTGGCACCACGTCGTCAACAAACCCAATCTCCACCAAAACTAGAAAAGTACCAATTTGTCCCATATGAAAATACCCAACCTCTCATAGAAGATTCCGAAAAAAGCAAAGTTCAAGCCTTAACAGTAATTGTACAAACCGTTATCGAAAATACTGGTGGCGCTTTGAAACTCAAAGTAGCTGAAGTTGGAACTGATAAACCAGTAGAATCAGTACTTGCACCACTTATCAAAAACATTATTGAATCTGAACCCATGCTTTCAACTGAAGTCACCGTTGTAACATCAGGGCCCATTGATACTTCATCTTTGGAGGCTAACGAAATTAAACATGCTGTTAAAGATGTAACTTCGGTTCAAGTAGCACAAGAGGCTCACTTGGTCGTTCTCAGTGATGCTTTAATGTACAACAGAAAGAATATAATAGATAATGCTGTAGCTTCTGTAAAAGCTGGAGGATTTGTTCTTCTTGAAGAACTGAAAGGATCGGCTGATGTATCAAAGCTTTCTCACTTGGAAATAGTTAGCAAACAAATAACGGATATGAAGGTCTACATTCTTCTCCGTAAACCAATCCAGGTACCAACTGACGCGACTGTTATCCAGATAACGGAGAAGAATTTCAGTTGGGTTGAACCATTAAAGGACACCATGAAACAAGCTGAAACTGATGGAAGAAAGATCTACCTTGTCACACAAGGAGAAGAACTTACAGGTTTAGTTGGTATGGTTAACTGCTTGAAACAAGAACCTGGTGGCTTAAACATTAGATCAGTCTTTATTCAAGACCCCAACGCACCTAAATTCACTATTTCTGCTTACGAAAAACAACTCCGAAAAGATCTTGTTCACAACGTGATGAAAAACAAAGTATGGGGTTGCTTCCGCCATTTAGTACTTGAACAATATGAAGACAGTGGTAAACTTCAAGTTGAACATGCTTACATTAATACAATTACAAGAGGAGATTTAGCCAGTTTAAGATGGATAGAAGGACCCCTTGGTTATTACAAGTAAGTTATTTTTAATATTGTCATTGGTGGGGGCGAATTATTAAGACTATTTTTTTACAGGAATGATAATCCAAATGCTGAACTATGCCACGTTTATTATGCTCCTCTCAATTTCCGTGATATTATGCTTGCTACGGGAAAACTTCCTCCAGATGCATTACCCGGTGATCTTGCTGGACAAGATTGTATCCTTGGTTTGGAATTCTCTGGACGTAACTCAAATGGAAAGCGTGTTATGGGTATGGTAGCCGCCAAAAGTTTGGCCACTACTGTTTTAGCTGATCCAGGATTCTTGTGGGAAGTACCTGAAAAGTGGAGCTTAGAAGAAGCTGCTACCGTTCCAGTCGTTTATGGAACTGTAAGTTATTCACAAAATAAGGAACAAAAATTATATGATAACGATTTATACTTATTTTTAGAGTTACTATGCTCTTGTTGTAAGAGGAGGACTGAAATCGGGTGAAAGTTTATTGGTCCATGCTGGTACGGGAGGTGTCGGACAGGCTTCCATCGCCATTGCTCTTCACATGGGTTGCACCGTTTTCACGACAGTCAGTAGTCAAGCTAAACGCGATTTCCTTAGAAAGACCTTCCCAGGATTAAAAGATGAAAATATCGGCAACTCTCGTGATACAAGTTTCGAACAAATGGTACTGACCCAAACTAACGGACGTGGAGTAGATTGTGTCCTGAACTCTTTAGCCGCCCATCAACTACAGGCCTCTGTCAGATGTTTAGCTATTGGAGGTCGCTTTCTCGAAATAGGAAAAGTAGATTTATCTAACAATTCTCCTCTAGGAATGAGCATCTTCTTGAAAAATACTACTTTCCATGGTATTCTTCTTGATGCTCTATTCGACTCAGACAGCCCACAGAAAAAACAAGTTTTCAACTTAGTAACTGAAGGTATCAAGAGTGGTGCCGTAAAACCTCTGCCAAATACTGTTTACAACGAAAATCAAGTAGAACAAGCTTTCAGATATATGGCTTCCGGTAAACACATTGGAAAAGTCTTGCTAAAAATAAGAGAAGAAGAGAGCCGTACTACCCAACATCCCGCGGTGAAGACTGTTAGTGCTATTCCTCGTACTTATATGGATCCAGAAAAGACTTACATATTGGTTGGAGGTCTCGGAGGTTTCGGTCTTGAATTAGCTAATTGGTTGATCACCAGAGGAGCCAAGAACATCGTGTTGACGTCCAGAAGTGGTATCAAGACTGGTTACCAATCGCTCTGCATCAGAAGGTGGAGAGAAAAGGGTGTTAAAGTTCTTATTTCAACATCTGACGCGACCACAGAAAAAGGAGCTAAGAGATTAATTGAAGAATCGAACGAATTAGGCCCAGTTGGTGGTATATTCAATTTAGCAGCCGTTTTAAGAGATGCCATGATGGAAAATCAATCTGAAGCTGATTTCAAGACTGTTTGCAAACCTAAAGTAGATGGTAGCAAGATGCTCGATGCAAGTTCAAGAGCTTTAGCCCCTCATTTGGACTACTTCGTTAACTTCTCTTCAGTTTCTTGTGGTCGTGGTAATGCAGGTCAAGCCAATTATGGTTTAGCTAATTCGGCGATGGAACGCATAGCAGAATCTCGTCAAGTTGTTGGTTTGCCTGCTACTGCTATCCAATGGGGAGCTATCGGTGATGTAGGTTTGATCCTTGAAACTATGGGCGGTAACGATACAGAAGTAGGAGGAACTCTGCCACAAAGGATGGCTTCTTGCTTGGCTACAATGGATATTCTTTTACAACAACCTCATTCCGTAGTAGCAAGTATGGTACTTGCAGACAAACACAAAGGAGGAGCTGGTGGCAGTCAAGTCAGTTTGACTGATGCAGTAGCCAATATTCTCGGTATTAAAGACTCAGCCACTGTTGCACCTAGTGCTAGTTTAGCTGACTTAGGTATGGATTCACTTATGGGGGCTGAAATTAAACAAACCTTAGAACGAAACTACGATTTGGTGCTTAGTGCACAAGAAATTAGAGCTCTTACTTTTGGTCGCCTTGTCGAGCTTAGCACTGGCGGAGGTGCTGCACCAACAACAGAAACACAACAACCAACGCAAGATAATAATGTTGAATTTGATCAAAAGGTAGATATAATGCCTAAGAAGGTGTTAGTCCAAATGACCAGCAAGTCCAGTGATAACAAAAAGACTCCAGTTTTCGTTCTTCATCCTATTGAAGGAGTTGTAAATGCTTTAGAAACTTTAGCTAAGAATATCGATGCTCCAGTATACGGTCTTCAATGTACTGCTAATACACCACTTAGCAGCATCGCCGACTTAGCCAAACATTACATATCTCAAATAAAGACAGTACAAGCAAAAGGACCGTACACTTTGATCGGTTACTCATTTGGGGCTTGTGTAGCTCTTGAAATGGGTATCTGGTTGGAAAAGAACAAAGAAAAAGTAACACTATTACTTTTGGACGGATCTCATTCATATGTAGCCACACACACTGGAAAGGCCAAGAATTCAAAGATTCAAGGGAATACAGCAGCTGAGCAAACCGAAGTGCTCATCTACTTCATCATGCAATTCAAGGAAATCGACCAACAAAAGGTAAGATTTTTCTTATTTCTACACAATATATGAGGGTTAGTCAAATATAAACCAGTTTTTTAATTTATTAATGCAAAATAAAAATACAAAACAATCTTAAAATCCTTCTAGTCTTTTTGAAGATTTTGCCAATGCTTTTTGATTATTTCCAAAGTTTGGGGTTGTGTCACACCCCAGTTGTGTAGGAACTGATCTACATTGTTGTCATTTTCGAAACGCTGTCAATCCTTTGATTCTTTCAGTGGCCCAAATAAATGATAGTCGCATGGTGACAAATTGGGTTATAGGGGGGAGGATGTTCCAGTTGGCATATATTTTTCTAACTCCAAGCAAGAGCGGCTCCGGGGGGGGAGTTGCTATTCAGAAAAATAAGCTAAAAAGGGAATATCTAAAGCAGCGATACTCAAAGTGGGGCTTCGCGAAGAAAATAATAGTCATAACAAAAGAAAGCAGTACCTGTCGCTACAACGGGACTTGTAGACCTTTTTTTAAGAGGAAGGACTATTCTATTTTGGTTGGAGGACCTTTTTTTAAGTCAGGAAGAGGCAGGAGTATATGATTTTGGTATGAGGACTTTTTTTAGAGGCCAGAGGAAGGATGATATAATTTTGAGGATTTTGTTGTAGGGGCTCTACAAAGAAACGGGAGGGACCTGGCAAGAGGCTAGAGCAAGGATAATTTTGCACAAAGGACTTTTTTTTTAGAAATGTGTTTAGGGCTCCGTCGTCAAATATTTTGCTTTTCAAAAAGGTTCCGTCACCAAAAAAAAATTGCTGATTTAAAGGCAATGCCCCCCGAAAATTGTCTTGGAGCCGCCCTTGACTCCAAGGCAGTCTGTGATAATGGTATGGGCACTCCCAACTCCCATGACTAGACGCCGAACGTTCTCAATACGTTCAGAAATCGTTCGAATAATGGCATCTGTTACGCTTGACCCCCACGGTGACATTTAACTGTCTATTATGACTCATTTTCAACAGCTTTAGGCCCTTCCTTGAATTTTCTGGACCACCTGTATATCTGAGGTTTTGATAACGTTGTATCCCTGAACTGTGCACGCAGCCTAGGTTAAACGTCGGAGGATTTGATGTCCTCTTTCGTGAGAAAACTAATTATAATACTTTGTGCAACTGACGCTAATGCTCATCGTAATAAGAAATCGGCCATCGTTATAGCATGCATCCCTCCTACCTTCTTACTTAACAATGACAGTTTATTTTGATCAGCATATTTTTTGAGAAGAAAAAATAAAATCCGTTTTATCCGATTGATCCTCATACTATATCTATTTTTTTTATTGTTGATATTCACGTGTCTACTTTTTTTTTATAGGCTGCATCGGAACTTATGGTCATGAAATCTTGGGATGAAAGGTTAGCTTGGTCTGTTCAAATACTTTCAGGAGCTACTCCATACAAACCAGAAGATATCGGTGTAGCAGCTACAAGCTTTTACCAAAAACTATCAGCAGCTGATAAATATAAACCTTCTGGAAAATTCAACGGAAATGTAACTCTAATTAAAGCTATTGATAATTATGTACAAATGGGAGAAGATTATGGTTTATCAGAGGTAATATTTTTAAATACGAAAATTATCGATAATTATGTTTTTATCTGTGTTCTTTTGAACAGCCGTAGAATTTTATTTTTAATGCTATATATCTCTTTTTTACAGGTATGCACCCAAAAAGTAGCCATAGAAGCTCTAAAAGGCAACCACAGAAGCATATTAGGGGGAAGTAGTGTAGAAAAAATAGCTAGTATTTTAAATAACCTCGTCAAGGTGTAATATTGAGATATTATTTTTAATAGTTCCTTATTATCATTTCGCTTACATTTCTTTGTGAATGTATTTTTTTGGGTCCAATTTTTGATAAGATTATTCTCATTTTAATTTATAGTAGCTGTAAATAGTAGGATTATTTTTTCAATATTTTGTAAGTAATTTATTGTTTAGTTAATTTTAAGTGACAAGAGTGAATTTATTTTTGTATGTTTGTTGATGAACCAAAGATTTTTTTCTCAAAATGACATGACAGTGATTAAAACACAAAAGGCTCTGGCGATGCTGCAGGGTTTGTTGCTTGACCTTTTGCATCATCGTCACAGTTAGGAGAAATGTTGTTATTGTGTGTTAAATAAAAAGCTTAATTAAAACTTGTGTATATTTAATTAAAACAAAAAAACCTATGTACCTGTGACACGGAAAAGGGAAAGAAAGGCTTGTCGTATGCTTCGCCTACCCCCGGGAGAAGAGAGAATTTGTCCCCAGCAATACTATTCAGAATCATTGCCTTTTGCGAGGAGCAGAAACTCAAGCTCATAACAGGATGAGAGGCGAATGCACACCACACAATTTGGAGAAGCGCCAACATCAATTCAAGAGGTGCATCACTATTACAATTCATTGTAGGTGAAGGGTTAAAAATTGCCGATAAAGGCAAGAAACTTTTGTTACTTCCAACCGAAAAGTTCTAGATTTGACCACATATGTTCGAGGTACAAATGACCTAATTAGGAATTGAAATGTGTGATGAACGATTATGTTCAGACTCGGACATATCAGCGAAGAAGAAGTGAAAGCCTGAGACTACATTTTAGCAAAATCGGATTCCTCAAAAAAGAATATAATACCTACACTATAAAACGCTAGACGAAACTTTATATAGATATTAACTCAGGGACACATTCAGCCACAACAATCCTAAAATGTCTAGATTTAGGACATCAAGAGTGCTATGGTCAATAGAGGATTAGTTCAACTCTAATAGAGTGAAAGTTAGCCTCCGAGATCACAAGACCACGTAAGACAAGTTGGGCCATCAACAAATTTAAGCCATACAAATCCCCTGGTCCGGATGGAATATATCCAATTATTCTAATCCAGAAAGGCAAGGATGTGTGTTAATGCCACATCTATGAAAAATCTTTAAGAGTTTTTCCATTGTCTTCAGCAATATGGCAAAAGTAGTCTACCTTACCAAAGTAAGAATAGGGTCACAGATTAAACGCCAGTCATATCGCCCTATAAGTCTATCCTCTTTACTAAAAACGCTAGAGATATTAAAAATCAATCTGCTCCATCTCGACCAATATACATACTGTCCAGGAAATTCAAATGATCTGGCGCTGGACGATCTAAACAGGCTGCTTTTAAAGTCAGTAGATGGCAAAGAAATCGCAATAGCCACTTTCTTAGATATCGAAGGAGCTTTAATAATGCCTCAACCATTTCAATAACGAAGGCTATAGAACAGAGAAAACGTCTGTCACAATAGTCCAATGGATCACTGCCAGCCTAGATAATAGGTTTTTATCCACTCTAGGAAAGGGATCCATACAGGAAAAAGTTACATGGGGCTGCTCACATTGATGCATACTATCTCCAATGCTGTGGTCAGTTCTATTAGTGGACGACCTACTCAAAACATTGTTCAAAGAAAGCTACCAGTGCCTAGGATAAGTGAACGACCTAGCAATTATCGACAGGGGTCGATTTGCGGGCACAGTCTCGGATCCATCTCAAGCAGCTCTAAACATAGTGAACAACTGGAGAAATTGTTTATTAATGCACAAAAAACAACAGTTGTACCATTTACAAAAAACTGGTACCTACAGGACTAAGACCACTAATACTAAATATAACATGGTTATTCCATTTCTTACAGAAGCCAAATACCTCCGACTCACATTTTACTAAAGGCTGAAGTGGAATCAACATCTCAAAAAACTCGCATACAAAGCTACAATAGCTCTAGTAAGCTGTAGAATGGGGCTTAAGCCCCAAAATAGTCATATAGTTAGATTAGATTTAATTAGGACCTCTTCCACCTCAACCTTTTCATATCTATTGTGTATATTCTTTAATCGTTGTTTAGAGTACCTTGTCTACTTTGGTCACAGTTTATAGCTAAAGAATCAGTTCGCTCATTCTGCGTCTGCACTTTTGATCTCAATATTCCAGTTTATACATTGCACAGCTCGGATTTGTATCCCTGGCGCATACAGAATCAAATCATACAATCCTTAATAAAATGTTATATACCTACACTGTTTAAACAAATATGATTGTGTCCCCTGAATTTTTAAAAAATAAAATGACAAATTCTTTATACAAATTTTAGACGAGTTTTTGGATAAAATTCAAAATGAGTTTTTGAGAGCAAACCTTTCGACGTTGAACTAATATTCGAATGCACTAAAAAGTAAAAATGTGACGTTTTGATTTATAAAACTTTTGCAAAAGAATACCTTATTATTGTTTAAACAGAAATAATAATATAAAATAGCAGAATAATTCACGTCACCAATTTATATTTTTTAGCACGCGAAAGCTTGTTTTATTTTTGACTGTTTTTTTATTTTTCATCTATATCTCAACAAGAAAATTTTTATGAAAATATTTACATATATTTTTTTATACCTAATAATATAATCAAAAAGAATGCTCTGAAAGTTGTGTGAAGAATAAATTATACATAGGTATTCTGTGTTACGAATATTGCCCTTTTTCAGACACTTCAAACAGCAGTCTTCTGCGCATTTTGAATTTGTATCCCTGTAGTGGATGTTATTTTGGAACATCCAATTAGTCCGAGTAAGCTAACTGATTCTTTAGCTATAAACTGGTTTGGTCTTTTGTACTAGACTCCATAGACTAGAAAGTAGTTCTTTCGCGTAGCTAGTTGTCCTTGGTTTTCTTCTCCAAGTGTAAGGAATCTCAATCTTCATAGCCTTCAAAGTAGCACAAAAGTGTACTGCAATTTCCTCCTCTTCTTGGCAGAACTGGCACAAGGTCTATTCTGCCAAACCGATGTTTTACATGTTTGTTAAGCCTACAATGCCCTGTTAATAGGCCTACTAGTACTCTAGAATGTTTTCTATTATGGCTTAATAGATGCTCGGTGAATTTTGGCGATGGTCCTTTAAAGAACCCTTTGGCCTTCTCTGCCCTGGTGATTTTTTCCACCATTCCTGAGATTTTTTTAAATATCCACTGCTTTATGCATGTTCTGATATTGTGACTCCACAGAAGGGTTCTGGGCCAATAAGAACCCTTGAGGCTCCTTCTCAGGCTAGTAAATCAGCCTCTTCGTTGCCTCTGCGGCCTGGTACTCAGGCTAAGGTTAGTCTTGACTACCTAGTACTGTTAGGGCTTCTAAATAGTCCCACACAAGTTTTGTATGTACCTACATGGAACTGAGTGCTTCTAACGTCGCTTGACTGTCTGAGTATATGACAATGGTTTTCCTATTTAAGTACTATATCTTTTTGTGCAGTGATGTATTACTGCTATTTCTGCCTGGAATACTGTCGCATGTTTACCTAAGCTCAGTGAGATTCTTGTCTTTGGCTTGATACTATATACACCTACTCCTGAACCCTCATGCCCAGACAACACACCAAATCCCAGAGATATCCACAGAATATCTTTTGTGGATATCAGAATTATCCCGTGGATATAATATGGATATCCAAATGTCCGTCTATATCCAGAATATAGAAGATATCCTATGGATTATCCAGCAAAATATCTAATGAGTATCTTCCAGACAATACAAGAAAGCCCAGAGATATCCACAGAATATATTTTGTGGATATCCAGTATATCCCAGTGGATCTAATATGGATATCCAAATGTCCGTCTATATCCCAGGATATAGAAGATATTCGCATATTTAGCAAAATATTTTATGGGTATCTTTAGTAGAGGTTCATAAGTAACCAATGATTATTGAATAACGTCGAAAGAAAATAGAGATAAAAAATATTTTCAACACTCTACCTTTGATTTTGCCCACTAAGGAGAAAGTCATCCTTATTAGGACTCTTCAGCAATAAATGGATTCCAGTCTCTAATGGAGTCTGATTGGTATACCAATTTCGATCGAACTCAGCTACGTCGGGTTGAGCATGAGTAGATATTCAACGAACGAAAGTGGTATCGCCATCTATACTTAATAAGCAAAATCAAAAATTACATCTAGTGGATATCCACCATGGTTTGCGTTCGCGCCTAGACTTTGATATATTTAGTTGATGTCCATGGGATATTGAATACACCTTAAAAAAATTAATTTTAAATATCTGAACGGTACTCTTAGCCACAATGGCGTAATTTTTTAATAATTTGCTATATAATTACTATTACTATATACCGGGTGGCACAAAATTGATCGAAAACATTTGATCGAAAAAACATTTTATCGAATAACAATTGATCGAAAAGAAAAATGATCGAAAAGAATAATGATCGAAAAGAAAATTGATTTGATAGAAAAAGCAATTGATCGAAAAACCAAATATTCATAAAATTATAGAATAATAAGAAAAATGAAAACATTTTTAACTAATTTACCTAAACTATGTGGCCTAGAATCATCGCTGGTTGCTTCGCAAAAACAAAAAATGAAAAAATAAATTAAACTTAAGTAACGTACTTAACTAACTTAACTTGTGCAAGAGCAATCAGTTGAATTTGAATAGCCCAGGTTAGGTAAATTAGTTTTCTTATTTTTATATTTTTTTTGTGAAGCAAACCACGACGTTTTCAGACTGGTGCAATTTAACTGATTGCTTTGATACAGGGTAGGTAAGTTAGTTAAGTTTTATAAAAAATAAAAATAAAGAAAACCTAACTAATTTACCTAACCTGTGCGACCTAGGGCAATTTGACTGATTGTTCTGACAGAGCTTAGGTAAGTTAGGTTTTTTAAAAACTTAACTAACTTACTTAACCTGTGTCAGAGCAATCAGTTAAATTGCTACAGGCCGTACAGGTTAGTTTTTCTTTATTTTTCCCTTTTTTGTATATTTTTTTTTGCGAAGCCACCCTCGAGGGCGCAGGTTAGCTAAAATAGTTTTTGTTTTCAGTTTTCTTATTTTTCTATATTTTTTTTGCAAGGATAACCGCGTAGGATCCAGGCCGCATAGGTAAATAAATAAAAAATTTTATAATAAAAAAAAACTAAACTAACTTACCTCAGTGGCGGCTGGCGACTTTAAAAAATGGTGAAGAGCTACTTAACCAAATAGAACCAAAACACTTTCAACATTGATTTATTAATATTATTTATCTAGTTTTTGTACACCAACTCGATTCTTCGGTCTTTTAGGAAGGCAAACCTATCAATAATATCGTCATAAAACGGTTGTCGCC